GGATAAAATTATTTTACAACAAAATAAAGGTATTTAAAGAAAGTGAATGAAAACCAGTGACTACTGTGCCACAGTCATAACTCAGCTTTTTCTATATGAAACCCAGTAAAAACAAGAATCAGTGTTTTTATTAGTAAATCTTTGGTTGAAGAGCTGAAATTAATTAAAGGGGTTTAAGAATGGAGTCAGAGGTGTACTTACAGATAGTCTCCATAAGCTCTTGAGAACTTGTTTGCTTTCAAAGCTAATTTCAAGTTAAGTGGTTCTTGCAATTTAGAAAGACTTGCTGTTGGATTTCAGTGGCTGAGTAAAGAATATTATTAATACAGTACAGAACTGTAGTATCTGAATAAAGATGGATGGTATATTTTCTTATAGAGAGAGGGTGCAATATTGTTAATATGAACCACATGGGACCTAATACTGAACCTTGTGGGACTCCTTTTTAAAATGGTAAATTTACCACGTCCCACTAAAGAATTAACCCACTTAGTGTCCAAAACTTGACAGGGAACCTTAAAGTACAACGGTATGAAATAAGATAATTTTATATTAATGCTTTATTATACCAGTTTGTTGCTGTTTAGAAGTATAATATAAGAGCTACCACACTTATATCTGTAAATGCTGTTTTCTCTTTCCTCTTGCCTGGCCACCACAGATACACCTGAGAGTTCAGACTCAGGCTTGGCTGTCCCTCTGGAGTCCAGCAGGCAAGAGCCTCCTCCACCAACAGAAGAACCACAGAACCAGATCCTGTCCAGCCTGCGTCTAGAGAACCAGTTGCTGCGCAGTGAGGTGGCCTCCCTGAATCAAGAGATGGCTTCAGTTATCCAGAGAGCAAAAGACTTACAAGATGGTTAGCAAAAAAAGCCAATACTGAAACCCGAAAATGGCACACATTCACCTGGCTACACCTCTTCCTATGATTTCATATGTTTTTTTCTCTCTTAGAGCTAAACCAGGCCCGTCTACGTGCAGACAAATGGAACTCGGAGCAGTCCCAGACTGACCGAACGTTACGAGAACTTCGGTCACAAGTCGATGACCTAACAGAAGCTCTCTCAGCCAAAGACGGTCAACTTGCAGTCCTAAAAATCAGACTCGATGAAGCCGATCAGCTTCTAAAATCCCGCAGTGCTGCATTAGAAGAGGCACAGAAGGAAAAGTCAAAGTATGCTTTTGGAGCCAAAGTCTTAAATAGAAATTACACTAAACTTATAAAGAACTGATTTAGATAGCATTTTCTTGTCTTGTTTGATTTTTTTAGAATTATGCAAGACCACACAGAAGGGAACAGCATGCAGTCCCAAGCTCTGGAAACCTTACAGGAGAGGCTGCGAGAGGCTGAACTGGCGCTCAGAAGAGAACAGGACAGCTACCGGCAGATGCAGGTGCACATGATGCCATTCATTTTCTGTATTTACAACGGTTAAATATAGACTGGTCATATGGAAATGATGAGACTTAACTCTCTGTTCTTGTGTAGACTGAATATGCTGGCCGGCTCTCTAAATTGGAGGCCGAGAGGCAAACCCTTGCAGAAACAGTGACTGCAGCTGAGCGGCGAGCAGCAGAGGAGAAGTTCAAGGTCGACGACTTCCAACACCAATTAAAAAGTGCCAAAGCTGCAGCTGAGTCTGCCAAGCAAGAGTTACAAGACTATAAACAAAAAGCTTCACGCATCCTACAAGTAAGGCTTGTAGAGGCTCTCCCGAAAAATGATTTCATTGAAAGCTTTACCCTGGAGTAAAGTGGAGTAAATCTCATTATTATATGTTTGAACTTTTATTTAATACTTTTAAATGTTTGTTTAGTCCAAAGAGAAGTTGATCAGCAGTCTGAAGGAGGGATCTGGTCTAGACACCCTGGACGGCAGTGGGACCATGGCTCTGGAGCTTGAGGAGCTGCGTCATGAAAAGGACCTGCAGAGGGAGGAGATCCAAAAACTGCAGGGGCAAGTTCTCACTCTGAGGACTGAAATACAGGTGAGATACTATATGCAGTAGGAAAAAGCAAAATTACTTACTAGCGAGGCCAGTAATTCAGTTGAATTTTTGCTTACAGGATTTGGAGAATCAGGCGCTGGCAGAGGCAGAGACGTGGAGGGAGCAGCAGGCGCAGTTACAGGAGCAGCAGACCTTACAGAACAGAGCAAAGCAAGAGGTAGAGGCTGAGGTGGAGCGCTACAAACAGGTAAAAGAGAGCTACAATAATAATAATAATAGGCTAAAAATGATAAAAGCTGTGCACAAGCTGTTGTTTTGACTAACTTAATCTTTGTGCCTATAGGAGCTGCAGTACCTTGAGGAAGAGCACCATCGAGCCAAAACCACTCTGCAGAGTCGAATCAAAGACAGAGAAGATGAAATCCAAAAACTCAGGAACCAGGTCAGTACCTTAAAGTTATACAAAACAATTGAAGAGTCTCCTTTTCGGATCAGGATTTGCTTTGTGTCTATTAAAACCACTGAATAATGATGTCTGATGAATTTCCTTTTGCAGTTGACCAATAAGACACTCAGCAACAGCCAAACAGAGCTGGAGAACCGGCTCCACCAGCTGACGGAGACACTGATCCAGAAGCAGACAATGGTGGAAGCTCTTGGCACGGAAAAAAACTCCCTCGTCTTTCAGCTGGAGCGCTTGGAGCAGCAGCTGAAGAATACTCAGGGAGGACAAAGTGGAGGGCCGGCAATCAACATGAGCGGTTTAGAGGGAGCAGGTAGGAGAAGCTGTCATTTGCTTTTTGTTTTGGTAAATGAGACCTGTTTTGAACAGTTGTTTTATTAAAAAACCTAATATATAATATATGCATTTACATTTCTTTGTTTTGGACTGTCAGGGGCAAGACAAAGAAACACACCTGTGCTCTTCAGTGACCAGGACAGTCCAGGAGTGTATGGAAAAGTACGTAAGGCAGCCAGCACAATTGACCGCTTCAGGTAAGCTTTCACTGTTCACCGTTTTACTGTGCAACAGTTCCATTGTTTTACAAGTGAAAAACTGTTAACTGTGACCAATACTTTTATTTCTAACAGCATAAGACTGGGAATCTTTCTGAGGCGCTACCCAATGGCCAGAGTGTTTGTCATCCTGTACATGGTCAGTGTTATTATTGAAATGATATGAACCCTTTGTTCAATGAGAGAGTGTTCAGTAGATGGTAAAGTGGTCTGTAACATCTGTAGTTTATTCATGATCTTTTTTCTTTCTTTGCAGGCGGTACTGCACCTGTGGGTCATGATTGTTCTTCTGACCTACACACCAGAAATGCATGGTCGTCCTGATGGAAGATAGAAGGCCTGAGTTTTATGGTTGGGTATTTAAAGATGTTTTCATTGGCCTTTAATGTAAGGAAGCTGCTGGAATATGGGCTCTGGGACCTCTCCCTGTTTTGCACAAATATGCTATGAATTAAAAGACATTTCCTTTAATTTCTTCTATATTGTTTCCAAATGAAGATGGGTAGCATTGAGTTTTAAAGTAATTACAGAGTAATATTGTCTTGGTGGTCTCTTAAATGGACATGAATCAAAAATTGTGTTGGTTTCAGAATTCTGAGAGATTGTATTTAACACTATGTACAAAAAATAATCTTTTAATAAATGAATTAGAAGGAAAAACAGAGACTGGCTCTTCTCTGTCACATTGTTTGAGCCACAAAGAAACAGAAAGGGAACCTTCACAGATCTTCTGCACAACACTCAGTTTAAAAGTATTTGAGGATTGAATACGATACGTTCAGATGAACAGAATCAAAATTCTGCGGGCTATGAAGAACACAATGGATGAACAGAAGGATGATGTGATAACACAGTTTGACAAACAAACAAGTATTTTCACACCAAAAAGATGGTTTCCAAAGAGTTGTTAGCTGAAAACTGTGAGCAACGTATCCTTAAAAAGTTTGACAAAACTGCAGACAAACGGTATCTGAAGGTCATGTCCTTCAGAAACAGGAAAGACGGCAAAGTCCTGGCACAAGACCAGAGAAATGGTTGCAGTGGAAGGGAGGGTGTCAAGAGGTAATTTGGAGAAGGGTGAACAAGGAGAAAGGCTGAGGTATGCCAAATTAAGGAAGAACAGTACAGTCACATTTTGAACCACCATGCCACCATCTGGAAAGCATCTGATAAGCAGCGACTTCATATTTCAGCATGACAATGATCCCAAACACACTGCCAGTGTAAGAGCATAGCTGGATAGGAAAACACATAATGGAACCCTATCAGACATAGACTGGCTTTCCCACAGCCTGGGCATCAACATTATTGAAGCAGTGTGGGATCATCTTCAAACAGAATGGAGCAAAAGGCTGTCCACATCCACAAAAGGGTTTTGACTGTCCTTCAAGAAGTCTGGACAACTGAAGACTGTCTGAAGAAATTATAATAAAGCTTGCCTAAGACACTTCAGGCTGTTTTGAAGAATAAACGTGATCAGACCAAATACTGAGTTTCAAGCTCTGCTTATCCCTTATACATTTAAAGTTATGAAATATTATTCAATCAACGTTAAATGTTTTTTGTCTGATTTTAGATCAATTGTGTTAATACAGTATGCCAAAATAAAAACATAACTGTAAATTCAGACACGTGAGGTTGTGCTGAAAAGGATAATACCAAACAAGGCAAAATAAATAGTTTTTAAAGGTGAAATGTAGAGGAAACATAAAAAGTAGTTAAAAATGCCCAATTAAACAATTTTTTTAAAAATAACGCAATAGTTACTTTTCAAGTAATTAATTACTTTTAGTATCTAGTAACTCAGTTACTAACTCAGTTACTTTTTTTTGAAGAAGTAACTAGTAACTATAATTAATTACTTTTTCAAAGTAACTTGCCCAACACTGGTAGTAGTATAGTGTATTTTGTGGAATTTACACCATTTTTAATAAACTATTTAAATGGGACTGCAACGCTTGGTGTTCTTCGGGACATGAACGCACCTTCAGTGTGTTGGTCCTCCAGTATCCCACAATGCACCGCTGTCGTGTGCGGTGTCCACGTCAAACTTGACACCCTTCGCTACGGTCGAGTCGATAATGGCTGCAGTCGAGGTGGCACTTTTGGGTCGCTGTGGTGTTTAGACTTGCCATAAAAACCGCTGAATATTCCTCTCAGGCTGACCGCAGACGACACAGACTCCAACATAAAGTCGTCATCTCAGGTATTAGCTGTCAGACTTCGATATTATGTCCGCCGGTCTTCAGGAACTACTTCGTGTGGACGACCAGCTGTCATTAGCCGGGTTCTGTGCTTGCTAAATGAGCTTCTGTCGGTTTGGAAAGCGACTTTGTCACGCAGGAAAGAAATTGGATTTTAGAATTTACGGGTCCCCCGTGGCTGAGAGTCTCCAGCTGAGCTTGATGAGCGAGCTAGCTGTATTATCTTTCGAGTCTACGCTAGGCTAGCTCCCCTGTTCTCCTCGGCCCTGCTTTGTTTTTGTTTGGTTTTTGTCTCCCCCGAAGATGTCATCGTGGTTGGGGGGAATCGGCTCCGGCCTCGGCCAGTCTCTGGGCCAGGTTAGCGGGAGTCTCTCATCTTTCACCGGGCAGATATCGAACTTTACCAAAGACATGCTGCTGGAGGGTGTAGAAGAAGTAGGAGGTAAGTTTGTTTGTGTTCCTGGTTTGATCCGTGCGATGTCCACATCACCTTTAGAGCACACCTGAGTGAGGCTTTTTCTACACGTGTAGGGACATGATTTTCAGTTTTGGTATAAGTCCTATAATCTCACTCTAATAAACTGCTACTAAAGCTCATAAACGTCCAAAAGTAATCCCTCAAAAGTTTTGACTTGAAGCCATTAAAGTGAAGTAGACACCAGAATAGCTTTAATATAAAATTTATATCTTTCTGTAAATTGGCGTTAACTTAGAGTTAACTTACTGGCATCGAGAAGCAGGGCCACCTGCCATGATATAAACAGGCAGAAAATGCCAGTTCCAAATTTTTCCGTACAATTAAAACCTGTGCTATCTGATACAACAGTCATAGGTTCAAGAGCATCTTCAGTGTTCAGTTTTGTGTTAAAAGATGGATTTATTTAACCTTATGGTTATATTGAAGTAACTGGTTATATTGCAGTGCATTTTCTAATTTTCAGATGTGACAGAAAGAGCAGAAACGCATAAATTGCTTGTTTTGCCTGACCCACACAAGATAATACTTGCCGAAATAGACATATTCATCACAAAGAAAATCTGAACTTTTTGGTGGCCCCTCAGCTCGGAATTATACTTTCACTGAGCATTTTGGATATGACACAACGGATAACAGACACAACTAACTTTTGTTGAAAGAAATTCAGAAAATAATATAGTACTGCACCGTGCTTATACAAACATTTATATCAGGATCAGAAACAAGTCGCACACCATCACAAACTTCAACTTGAAGTTGAATCATCTTCTTTGTATAAAGATTTAAACTTAACTGACATCATGATTACAGTAGCGCTGTTGTGTGAAAGTCTGTCATTTTCAGCTTAGTTTTGCTATAAATTGTCAAATCAGTGTGTAAATGTAGTTTACTTAGGTGCTTGGAATTAATCTCAAATGAGATATAGGCCATTTCCAGTAAATAATAACATTAGTGCTCTACAGCAGCACATAATATAGACAGTGAAATACCTAGCTATGTATTAAACAGGGATGCATACCTTTCAAAATGGTGATTGATTCAAAATGCAGGATAAAATATAAACAAATTGGTTTATTAAAAGTTCTGAAAGTATATTAAGAGTTCTGAAAATTTTGAATTCAGTATCAAGCACAATATACAATGCAATTCAAAAGTTACAATTTAAAAAGGCCTCTCATACAAGTCTTTAGAAGTTCAATAAGTACCAAGCATTTCTGTATTCTTGTGTATTTACAGTAAAATATCTACGTATCTAATTAGACACCTGTGACTGTGAGTCCTCATTAGATGTAAAAAATCCCAACAAACACCCCCACCCCAAAACAATCCATGCTGTGCTGTATGTAATTATAGTTATGTGCTATTAGTCTATCAAAGTTAAACAACTTTTTTGATCTTAAAAGGAGCTCCTCTGTTTGGCACTGAATGAGTGGGACAGCTAGTACGATAACAGTGTTTGAGTTTTACATCCATTAGCAGTGAACTAAAAGTTCCAAAAGTTTCGAAATTGTTGAAGGACTGAAAACGCCGCTGTGACTTACGGTGTAGGTTTTAGAGCATACTTGCATACCCACACCACCACAGCACTATATTTAAGTTTGAGCTTCTGACAGATATGTGTTGACTGAAAGAACTCTTAGTTCCTGAAAAAATACAATTTTCCTTTTGTGTTTATTACAGTCAAAATTTTCTCAATGGTACATTAAAGTCAGTAATATCTGAATTTAAAAATAATAATTCAGTTGTAAACTGACAGATAAATTCCAGGTGAGAGCAGCTGAATATGGACACATGGATCGGAGAAACACAGCAGAGTTTACTTATTGTAACACAAAAGTCTGTACCAGTGATTTTGGTGTGGTGCAGTTAAAAAGGTGTCTCATTTCAAACTGACTGTTGCCTGATTAGACTGAAGGCTATTGTGCAGCATAATCTGCTATCAGAACATGGTCAGACTATCTTCAGTATTCAAGAACTAACTGTAAAATAGATTCAGCTCTTTGTTTTAGAATCCTAAAGTGGATTTTTCCCTCTTATGCATTATGTTATTTTCCTGTTACGCTACTAGATTATTCAGCTTTAGCACTGGTTATTTATATTCCATGTAGACACATTCTTGTATGTTGAAACACATTAATTCCCCATCAGCCTTTGATTTGATCAACTTGAAATGTTTTTTTTATTTATTAATTTTTTTTACAAATGCATGTTACCAAATATGCGACTCGATTAACCTCTGAGGCTATCTGCGAAGTAAAAGCTCCAACTCTGAGTTCATTTAGGTTCAAACTTAAGCAAACATGGGCCCTCTTTTTCATTGTCAGCTAAGGTTTAGCAGCATATCGTCAACACTGATAGAGAGGCGTTGTTTGATTTCTGGAATTGCTCATATTTGGGTGTTCATATCTAGTTTTTGAACTCATCATCACTTCACTAAATTGCTTTGTTGTTTACACCAAGACTTAAACTGTAGTCGGTGTTTAACAATTTTCCTGTCAGAGTGTTGTTTTGAACTCATCAGTCGCTAGATATGAAAAAGGGGCAGAGAGTCTGATTTATTTTGTTTTTGTTTTTTTTTACAGTACTGCATAATATGAAAATACTGATTGCTGATTCGCCAGTTTTGGGCATAGTACTAAAATGCAGTTATTGTAGAGATTGGATTAGAAGAGCCCCATCAACCTTACCCACTTAAACCCTGAAGTGTCATCCTACTAAAGCAAACAGTGATGAATGATAAAACACTGACAGAAAGAGAACTTTGGCCACAGATATCCAACTCACAGCTCCAGACAAAAACAAGAAGTGTGAATTGTTATCACTACAGGAGGGACTAAGTAAACTTTTATTGCTGGATCTTTAACTGAGGCTTGGTGTGAATGTTATGTGTTGGCTGAGATTCCTTCAGCTGTTAGATCACATAACTCAGACAAGATGGCGAGGAATGTTCAGCCTGCTCAGCCAAGCGTGTTTGTTTATCATGTGAGCAAGGTTAGGCTCCAGTTAGAATCACTTAAATGTGCTACATATACCATGATGGATAAAGCAGAAAAGCCCCTTTCAATACAAAAAAAAAGTAATGCACAAGTGTGTTTTTATTGTTTTTATTTTTATTGTAGTTGTATCATTAAAATGATGCAACAGATTTAAATCATGTGCTGCGTGATTTTTACATTGAGTCATGAATAATTTTGGAACTGCTACTTTTTAAAATGTTTTTTCCCCCACATGCAACTACAGATGCTGCCACGGAACTGCAGGTTTCCAATTCCAAGTTGGCTGAAGTCGAGTCTGCTTTTGGTGCTCAGAAATCTGAGGTTAGTCTATTCACTCTGCAATACTATAAACCTTTCTGGCCACTTTCATAGCAGGAAATGTGAAACTAATATCATTAACTGTGGGTTTGTTGCTTGTTTTGTCTGTTTTGCTCATACCCCAAGTCATCAAACTTCCATAATTATAGCTGAACTTTATCAGTACTATCTAACTATGTTTTAAAGATGGCAATAGGTCCTTCCTTAATGAATAAAAGTAGCAACATTCTGTATTTTGTCTTCCTGCCAATTAAGATAAATAAGCCAACAGTGAATTTGACCTAGTAGCATGCACTGTCTCTAGGCTTCATATTGCTTATTCCTCTGTGACATTGAGCTCCCACAAAACTATTAAAAACACATTAGGGAAAAACATTGTTTGTATGCTTCTTTCTTACCATGAATCAAGCTATAGTTGACTTTGAGTCCCTCACACACTATCCTGCTGCTTTCACTACTCTTCCAAATGCATTGTAATCTGTGGCTAAATATAGCCCTGGGCAAATGTGCTACATTAGATCTTCCTTTTTGAGTAACAGTTGCTCAAAGCTACAGCTGTTCCCATCTGTTTTGTGGCCAGTATTTAACCCTATAAAAGCA